AAGAAATGATCATCAAGAGTTTTTTAAAGACAGGCATTAGCAATAAAATGGACGGCACAGAAGACGACCTGCTGTGGAATTCAGACTCAGAAGAAAGCGAAGAAGCTGGAGAAATGTTCCTGCCAACTGGGACACTGATGATAAATTAACTCTAGAAGAATGGGAACAACTCTTTAGTGTATCTGATGATGATGAATCTGACTTTGAAGCATTTTAAATAAATATTGTTACCGGTAATTTTTTCGGTATTGTGTTTACCTTGTCAATAAATGCTTTTTATTATGGCCGCACGTGTTCAACAATGTTTGTCACTTACAATGCTTGGTCTGAGCCGAGAAAAAGTGAAACAAAATTTTATACCGATTTTTAATCGAAAATTAGGGGTGCGCATTATACACGTGTGCGCGTTATACTCGAATAAATACGGTAATCTGGTTGAAAAAAGACATAAGTCATTTCAGTTCAACCAACAGAGGGAAAAAAACAACACACACAAATAGAAAACTCCCATGTGCACAATCCTGTACCCACAGTTGATCCAGAGGAAGGCTAGAAAACCCCAGCAAAGCATGATCCAATTTTGCTCCAGCCAGGGAAAATGTTTCTTCCTGATCCCCAAGAGGCAGTCAGATATTCCCTGGATCAATTTTACTTATGAATATTAGTATCCAGTTATATTATGTGCATTTAGGAAGGAATCCAGGCCTTTTTAAAGCAATCTACTGAGCTGGGCAGAACCAGCTCTTGAGGGAGTCTATTCCACATATTCACAGCTCTTACTGTGAAGAAGCCTTTCCATATTTGGAGATTACATCTCTTTTCCTCCAGACATAAAGTGTGCCCCCTTGTCCTCTGTGATGACCTTAAAGTGAATAACTCTACACTAAGTTGACTATATGGACCACTTACACATTTATACATGTTGATCATATTCCCCCGTAATCTCCTCTTCTCAAGAGAAAATAAATTCAGTTCCTCTAATCTTTCCTCATAGCTGAGCTCCTCCATGTCTCTTATCAGTTTACTTGCCCTTCTCTGTATTTTCTTCAGTTCTCCAATATCTTTTTTTGTGAACTGGTGCCCAATCTGAACTGCATATTCCAGATGAGGTATAACTAATGATTAGTACAGGGGCAATATGGTGTCTGTCTGTCTGCCCCCCCCCCTCTCTCTCTCTCTCTCTCTCTCTCTGGAGTCTATACCTTTTTTAATACAATAAAGGATTTTGCTCATTTTGGAAACTGCAGCTTGGCATTGCATGAAAGTATTAAGCTTATAATCTACCAGAACACCCAGATCCTTCTCCACCATTGATACCCTCAGTTGTTCTCCTTCTAGTATGTATGATGCATGCATATTTGTAGCCCCCAAGTACATAACTTTGCATTTATCAACATTAAACCTCATTTGCCACACAGTTGCCCAATTAAACGATGTATTCAGGTTGTAAATTGAAGAGGTAGGCTTGAAAGTTGAACACAACATGTAAGGACGTAATTCCCCTGCACAGTTTGGTGTCATCTGTAAAAATTGAAATGGTGCTTTTAATCCCAGACCCTATATCACTCAACAAATATATTAAAAAGCAAGGGTCCCAACACTGAACCTTGGGGTACACCACGGACAACCCTAGACCATTCAGAGTATGAATCATTAACAATTACTCACTGAATACGATCTTTTAGCCAGTTTTCTATCCATTTACAAACTGATTTTTCCAAGCCTGTAGACATTCTCTTACCCATTACCCATGTGTGGAGATCTGTGTTAAATGATTTGGCAAAATCTAAGTATACTATGTCCACAGCTCTTCCTTTTTCTAAGGTTTTGCTCACCTCCTCATATCAAGAAATCATATTTGTTTGACAACTTCTGTCTTTTATGAATCTATGCTGTCTATCGCTTAAAATAGTCAGCATCCGTGTTGCATCCATGGGTTTTTATACTATATCAGTTCAAGTATAAGCTATTAATTTAATCTTACTTTTGATTAAATTATAACATAAGTTACTTATATTTTCATCTTTCAAAATAAGATTTAGTAAACAGCACTTAAACTTTTATAATTGCTTGTAGGCTTGTTTTTCTCTCCAAATTAGTGAATCCTTTGATAAAAAATTATTATCTTAAAAGAACATCTTTTGAACATTTTCAATCATCAAATGAAAGTATCTACAGCTATTAGAACATGCTGCATACAAGAATGGATTTTTGTCCTCCAGGGTGTTTCACTGTAAAATTGAGATAAGCACTCTGTAAAAGCATTTCTCTTATCTGAATATAGCATATCTTGAGACAGAAAATAACACAAGAAAACTTGTATGTTTAATATGGCTTTAATTTTTTACTAGTTTGAAATCTATGTCTTATGCTAATTTAATAATCTAGATATATTTAATATTTTACAAAAGTATTTAGCTGTGCTGCTTTAAAAGCAAGGGAATACCCTAGTCAGTTTGCTTTCTAATTGCACCAATCTGCATGTAGTCATTCCTCTACAATATAGCTGCTTTTACATCTACATTGTTCATTAATATTTGAGAGCAGAAATAATGTTTCAAAGGCACCTTTATGCTATGAGTAAAGAGCTGAGGTACTATTACTGGAAGTGCAATGGTGATCTGTAGCATCTAAATCCATATGATTGGAGTACATTCAAGGCCTGGTTCAAACTAATGTGATGTGACTTTCATTCAATTTCAGGTGAGATTATGTAGAGCGACTTCTTCGCAATTTTGATTCTTTCTGTGATTTTTCAGCTATGCGGGTTTTTTTTTACACAACTACTACTACTTCTTTCCCTGGAAGGAGAGTTGAGAGTTAAAAAAACATGAAATTGCTTGCCCTATCACATCTCAATTTGATTTCTGTGCATTTCTATTAAAGTTTATGGGGATAAAATCATGCTAGAATCTCATCAAAATCGTGCAGGAATATTTTCCATATTGTTCCATACTCAGTCACATTAATGTGAATGATCACCTTTGAAAAAAATGTTATTTCCTTTGCCATACGATTCTGTGTCACATCTGAAATCTTATTAGTGTGAACCAGGGTGGGTTTAAATGGAAATATTTTTTTTTCTGTAAGCACAAACTAGCTAGTTAAAGGATAACTTCACCTTTTGTAACACATTACATGTTACACCCACATTCAGGGTTACGGATGGACCAGGCACCGCACCTCCCCAATCCCCATTGTGACAGCTAGCGTGGATCTTCTCACCCCCTCTAGCTGTCACAATTTTTTTTTTAAAATTTCACTTTTTTAACAAACGACTTGTCAAAATCAGTCGTTGAGTTTTTATTCACATTTGACACTTTTTTTGGTGAACAAGTAGGGGTACTGTATACCCCATACTCATTCACATGGGGGGAACAGGATCTAAGGGCCCCCTTTCTTGATCTGCAGAGCTGCATGCTTGGATAAGGGTCTGGTATGGATTTTGGGGGGACCCCTTGCCATTTTTTAAATTTTGGCTTGAGGTTCCTCTTAAAATCCAAATCAGACCCAATTTTTTTTATTTTTTTTTAGTTGCCAGCAATAGGTTTGTTTATATAAAGCTGTCAGCAAGGAACCCCGCTGACAGCTGGTGACTCATCGGTTGTTAAGAACATGGGCGGTTGCCTGCTCCTTAACAACCATGTTGTTTACTGGTTGTTAAGGATGCTGGTGGCCGCCAGCTCCTTAACTACCAGCTGAAGTCATGCAAAATGCATTAAATAAGGAAAAAAGGGTGCATCAAAAACGGATGTGAATAAAATGCAAAATGCACCCAGAAAATGCATCAACCGCAATCTGCATAGATGTGAACCTAGTCTAACAGAATGCTTCTTTTTCTTTAATTCTTTTAGTAAGCTTCATTTGAACTTTGTAAGGGCTCTTTCACACCATGGTGCAGAAATGTTAGTTTTTTTGCACACGTTCTGCAAGGGCACAACAAAATAAATTGTTCTCTACGTGCCTTGTTCACACCACAACACTAGTATCACATGAGGATATTTTCTGCACAGAAATCTGCAATGTGTAGAAAAATTATTGAAATATGCATGAAAACACATATGGAAACTGATGCAATTGAAATCTGCACATCAGTTTTCATCAGTTTTTCTGCATGTATGGTGTGAACAAGGCCCAAATCAACAATGTAAATACATTCCAGGTGCCACAAAATAAAATGTTTTCCTAGTTTTGCAGGTTTGTATTTGAAAGAAGCCTCAGCCTGTGTAGAAAAGCTTATCACCTGTAAGCTTGCTTCTGAGAAGGACCCTTACTCTCTGTTAAGAAGCAGTGGTCTTTCTGCAAATTTTTGCCACACACCCTGATTAATCTAGTTAACAGGGAGAGTTTTGCTGATTAAAAAACTGTAGGTCTGACTAAGAAATTGGCATGTCAGACCTCTACAGAGAGGTCACACAGAGCAGTTGTCCTTCTCTACTGCATTCTGGTAGTGGACAGGCCTTTCTACTTAAGCTATGGCTGCTTTGTAAAGGAAATGAACAGTAATCCTGGAACACCTTTTATTTTGATGTACATGGAATGTGCAGTACTTAGATGATTCAAACTGAAAGTTCATTTGGATTTTCACTAAATAAACTGTATAACCATTTTTAAGTTTAACTTTTTTTTTGTGAAAAACTGTTAGCTCTTGTTTCCCTGAAAAAAATCAGTCGGTGAAACAGGTTTACAGTATATTGCCCTATCTAATATCTAGAGTGAATATCTAAGCCCTTTGCTATTTTAATACCAGTATATACAGTAAAGCAAATGATAAGTGGTATTTGTTTATGATAATAATTATGCCTGATGATGGCTGAGTTGTTGCTGGTGATAAAGCTTATGTTTTTACTATAAAACATGATTGATCAACTGTACATTAATCCAATATTACAGATTGTGAAATTTTAGATTTGTGTAGTATTTTCCAGTATTTTTCTTTATTCTGTAGTTTTCTATTTTTATTATTGTTATAGTGATACATGCACTTTTTTTTGTTATAGATAAAATTAGCTCTTTGCAAACAGCGTCTAAAGCCATTAACAACACGGATCCTATCGAATCCACTTGCAGCAGCTGCGGCTGCTGCTGCCATCGCTGTGAATTCACCTTTCAGTCTCCGAACTGCGCCAGCAGCCACACTATTCCAAACTTCAGCACTTGCTCCAGCACTTCTGAGGCCAGCTCCCGGGCCAATACGGACCACCCACACACCTCTTTTGTTTGCTCCTTATTGAACTTAAAGCAGGGGTAACTGTACTGCAATAATTTTTTTTTCCAAAATGAAATAAAAACATATATATAAAAGAACTATGCAGTGTTATTTATAGTTTGAGCTCTAAAGTAAGCCAGAACTTTTCATAGCAGAAAATGCTGGAGATAAACATCAAAGGTTGTATTTTCTTAAATGTAAACATTCCCTAATGTGCAGTTTTCTTGTTAAATTGCTGTAACATGTGGAAACCTATTTCCTGTCCCATGTATTTCCCACATTATTAGCATTAAAGGTAAGGCGATGTTACATTCTAGGGTGTCATTATGTACTTTATTAGGAAAACCTTGACTTCTGACCAAGAATTCAGTGTAAATCCTGGAAACCAAAAACTGTTCAGAATTTTTTTTCCTAGATACAGAGACTCTCAAGGACGTGTTCAAGTGAAGCTTCCTAATATCACCTTTGTTCCTTTTCCAGGGAAATTCTGGAACAGCTAAAAAGTGCAGCAATGATATCTCCAGTTTTCTTTCTTCTACTGACCAAGTGTTTTTTGAAACATCCAACTTCTTGTATCAAGAATACACAGTATAAAAGCTAATGTATTTGTCTTGTCCATAGCAACTAATCTTTTTTGGATTTTATAATCTGCCCTGAAAAAAATATATTTGGAACCAAGTTGCTTTGTGCAAGACCAGAAACTTTCAGACACCTTTGATCATTTGACAAAATGCCAACAGCCATAGCATGCGGGGGATGCAAAGCAGTAATTGTGCATGCAGGAAGCGAACAAGTCCTTTGTAGTTTACGGGATGTTCTCCTTTAGCTTTGAAAGACATATTTGACCCTTGTATTCTAAAGAGTTGAGAGGTGAGAAAATATTTGGTGCCCAATGTAGAAAAACACTGTGAAAAGAACCCAATTCATGCTCAGTTCAAGGCTTGTTGGGTACCTAAATATATTGGATGCAATGGTTACAATTAAGAGCAGTAGTACTATATGTTGACCTACTTAGAGAAAAAAGTGGCAAAAGTATTAGCTGATCTTGGCATTTCCAAAATACAGTATAAATGCTTCTTCAAAGATATCTTATACTCTACACAAACTTACAAAAACCTAAAATGGGAAGGAGATTATGTGTATCCTCATCTAAATATGTTTACTGCTGTATTATGGATTGTTATTTAGTGGATGAAATACAGTATGTAATGTATTATATGTGCCATGTACGTATGTGTGGACTATTGTCCCCAGACTTTTCATGTATGTGATATTGTTCTCTGTATTAACGCACAGATTTATTCCTGCTGCTCAGCCATTATGGTATAGGCTTCTATAAAGTACGCTATGGGATTTATAGCTGAACTGTTAAATTAACTTTCCATAGTGGGAGTTAATTTTAATGTTGTAAGATTGTTTTTAATGGGGAAACAGTGCAATGTAATTTTCATTTAGGAAATATGTTTAAATGAAATACATTCTGTGTTTTAAACATAGTTCCTGCTTTTTCACTATACGTATATATACATTTTATTTGCCTTTTAAAGCTATTTTCATGGATTTTACCAAATGTATTAGTTTTTGAAAGAAAACAACATGGCTCATTTCAAATGAAGAAAATACAAATTAAAATAATTTATTGTGTTTATCAGATTAAGGAAGATACGTGCCATAAAGTGAAATAAATTATTAAATGTGTATTCACAGAAATAGCAGTGGATTGGTAATCTCTTACACAACACCTCTACAGTAAGATAGGCTTTGGTTTCAAAGCTTGGTATCTGCCGAAAACCTGCTGCAAACTGTGGTTGTTCTAGTGTATAAGGCCTGATACATGTTAAATAACTATATATATTTAGCAAATGTGTATAAAAAATAAAACATAATATAAACATAGAACTGATGTTATAAACTGCTGTGGCAAATAATTTAGTTTTTATGCCATACCAGTTCCCCAGCATTTTACAGTTCACTTAAAGCAGTGTTTCTCAACTCCAGTCCTCATGGACCCCCAACAGGTCATGTTTTCAGGATTTCCCTCAGATGAAACAGCTGTGGTAATTACTAAGGCAGTGAAACTGATCAAATCACCTGTGCAAAATAATGGAAATCCTGAAAACATGACCTGTTGGGGGTCCATGAGGACTGGAGTTGAGAAACACTGACTTAAAGTGATTGTAAAGACTGAAGGTTTTTTTGCCTTCATGTATTCTATGCATGAAGGTAAAAAAACTTTCTGTGTGCAGCGACCCCCCCCCCCCCCCAACCCCCTCCAATCCAGTGACGTTCTCAACAGCCTCTGCTGTCTGGGGACTCTTCCTCCTCATTCGCTGAGACAGCAGAGGGAGCCCATTGGCTTCCACTGCTATCAGTCACAGCCAGTGAGATAATGAGGAGAGAGTGGGGGTGGGTCTAGGCAAGGCTCTATGTGTTTTTTTTTTACGCATAGAGCAGCAGCTGGGGGGTTGAGGACACAGCGGTTTCCTCAGGGCGAGTGTCTTTACCTGGGGGCACTGCTCAAAAGAGAGGAGTCACAAGCACCATCTGGGACCCAAAAAGAAGAGGATCTGTGCTGCTCTGTGCAAAACAACTGCACAGAGCAGGTAAGTAGACATGTTTTTTATAAAAAAAAAAAAAATTTAGTGTCACTTTAAAATTAAGAAAATGAAGTCCTGATAAATCACTTCATGCTGGACACTTTTGCAGGAATAGCTATTTTTTAGCACTGTGCCAAAAATCAGAGCCACTACAGACCAATCTGATAACAGTCTAAAGATTTGCTACTGCTCAGGGACTCTGAGCTTCAGCAAAATGGCAGTCTGCTGCAAAAAGAAACAGGAACAATGCTGGAGGCAATTTACAGCAAACACTAATTTCGGTAGCATAATTATTAATGTGGAATGTATGTTCCTTGCTAAAGAACATTATTTCTTATCAAGTTGTTATCGATAACGTTCCCCTTTATTAGTTCTTAGTAAGAGTATATTTTTGAGGTTTGCTTCAAAAATTCAAATACATTTGAACCTGAAATAAGGGCAAAAGCAAAAATTGTTTATCTGACTTCCACTAGCATTAACACAATTGTTTTTGTTTTTTCCCTTCTGTTTTATCAACTGTTAATTCTATCAACAAATCTGTTGATTTTCAACTTCCTGCAAAAGGTTGACAACGCTGTCCATTTTGCAATAAAAATGCTATCATCCTGTAGAGAGGGCAGTTTTAGTGCATTGTTTTTTTTCTGATTCACGTGGAAATTTGACTTTTAACTAAGCAGTACACATGCCAGTTCAAATGCTGTGTCTAACCTGCTTTGCATGGTGCTAGGTTTCTTTGGTTGCAGCATGTGCTATTGAAGTGCATTTGAAGTGCAGGCAAACAGGTCAAATATAGGCTTTCCTTGTCAAAAGCTGAATTTGCCATTCAAAAGCATATGCTGAACAGCTTGGCCTATATATAAAGGTGATGACAAATATAAATATAAGGCATGGGAAATAAAAAAAGCAATTGCTATATTGAATCTTTTCATTACAGGTATAAACCATATACAGTTACCAGAATACAATATATTTTACTATGTAGTCTTTTAAGCCTTTTGCTGCTAGATCCCTCTTTTCTCATTTTTGTTGAGGCCTGATGATTATTTGAAAGCCCCAAAAATATTACATATTTACTGAAAGCAGAGGATCTAGAGAATAAAATGGTGGTAGCTGCAATTTTTTACATTGCACAATATTAGAACAACTGCTTTTTTTAAAACTATATTTTCAGGAATAAATACACTGAAGATGGGGTTGTGTTGAGCAAATAGATACAGATACAAGCATGTCAAATTCAAAATTGCAAAAACTATGGTACCCCAAATTTCATTTCAAAATTAATTTCCAACATTTAAATGCCTTTACAGCACATAAGTTTAGAATTAACCATAATTAATGGCTCTAGCATTATCCTTCTCATTCTGGCACATGAAGCAATGCCCAATACAGTATGGATTGTGCAATCATTTTCGTGTGGATGTGCACCCAACACATGCATTTGAGTTCAAATGTTTTATTAAACTTTATTTTTTTTAAACTTGTTTCAACTTAACTTTATTCATCTATATATATTACTATAAATCCCATCCTAAAAAGATCAAATGCAGGTCAAAATACGATTTTATGTTTTCGAGTTCAAGTTTTGTGACAAAACCCTTTGGTGTGTTGAAAGCCCATTATTTTGACTAAATGTAGAAAAGAAATATAGTATGGTGAAATTAAGTGACATGAACACACTTCTAACCATGGACAAGGACATTTAAAATAAAATAAAGCTTTTTTTAATCATATAAGGGATGAGTTTTCAGGTACATATGGTTATGCTAGGCCCTCCAGTCACTATTGGACAATGGCAAACAAAGCTGTAAAGAAAATCTGTAATAAACAATCAGTGCAGTGTCACCCAACAATGCATCAAGAGAAATTGCTGCTAGACATCAATAGTGCTTCTTACTACATCATACATAATTAACATACAAAAGATGTAACGCAAAATCTCAATCAGAAAAAAATAAATAAAATAAAGAAAGAGTCCTTCATATACAGTGTCACTAGTCCATCAACAATGTCAATAATGTGTGATATCTTCAGTAATCGTCTTACAATTTTCTTCTTTCTATTCTGATCACTCCGTGCAATATATGCGCTTACCTTCTAAAGTGGACCCCAATATCAATCAAGGTCATAAGGGCATGTATCCTCATATCCAGGGAGATATTTCAACCATTCAACTTCCGTCTTCTACTCCTCCTCCTGGTGCAGCTCCACTCTCATAGATATAAGGACAAACAAAAAATAAGCAAAATAGTGCTCTGCATGCACAACTAAGTATTAAAAAAAACTTCAGTTATGCATTCACATTATACTAATATGTAGTGCAAATATACAATCCTCACTCCACAGTGAAAACTGGCTGCCCATCTCCACCAATGGACCCTGATAGAGCATATGATATCAAGGTCATAAGAGCATATGTTTCTCCTTCATA